AGGCTTGCCTGAAGCACCTTGGTGATGAGGATGGTCAATGCTACTTCGGCCTCCTTGCCACCCAGCTAGCCCAACGAATGCTGAAAGGACCAGTTAAGACTCAAATGAAGGAACCGGCAAAAGATTTGCCATACTTCATGAAGTTCCTGCAAGAGATGAAGAAGGCCATGGCTGATGACGACAATATATTCGCTGCTGATGTGGATCATAGCAGGTGATTACCAGACCATTATGGACGTTGCCTCCATCCCCTCCTCTGTTCAGGCAAGCGGTGAGTTTTTGGGCAAGTCTGACCATTGGTTAGCACAGGCACTCAAGCTTGACAAGGGGAAGAAATCTGTGCAATTGCCTCTAGAGAATGCTATACACTGGCGAACAGCAGAACAGCATCTTGGAAAAGATCTCCCAAGCGCAATTTGATTTGGAAGAGTGGAAGATTCAACCGAATCTTTCGAGGATTCACAGGAACAAAGAGTCTATTCCGCTCTGGTTGCAATAGTGGATGGCAAAGTCAAGGAGGAGACTCCCAACGCAGAGCCAACTCAGAGCAAGGACATGGATGGCAAGGACGAGACTGAGACAAACAGCGACAAGGACGCTCCTGCGCAAGAGGACAGCGCTGACATGGATGTGGAGGCTGACATGGATGGCATTGAACCTCCTGCAAAGGATTCATCCTTCCTCCACTCCCATGCGAAGGCTCAGTTTGTGTCTGCTGTTCTTGCGTACTAAGTACTGAGACTTGACTGGACTAAGACTGAGACTCAGACTCAAGACTATGGACATGACAAGGCTACAGTCTGTATAAAAAAAAGAACCGTACTGTATACCGATACCGTTAAACTTAAACCGTTATACTATATACCGTATACTGTATACCCCTATATCGTACTCACCAACAATGGACTGTGAGGCGCAGCTGGGCGATTGGAAAGGACTCCGTGTCAATGGTGGTGGAAGCTCTACCCAAAACGATCTTGGCCATGACAGCCTGCACTGGGAGTGGTATGCTGGAAATTGTACTCGAGGTAGTAGTCAAAGAATTGAACCAACAGTTCGGCTGCGGGCTTGAGGTCAGGGTTGGGAACACATTTAGGGTCTTTTGAATTGTGTTGAGTTGAGTCAAGTTTCTCTGTTTGTTTTGTCTCGCTGTCTTCTCAGTCGTCTACTTCTCTTGTGATGAAAGGTGGAACGATCTTTCATGTGCGAGATTGTTCAGAACAAGCAGAAGTTTGTCATGAAGCACGTGATCCCTCCAGAGGAGAAAACCAAACCAATTGGCAATTGGGGTAGCACAGTCCTGCTGTTGGCAGGAACGAGATGTTGCTGGCTTTTTCGACGACATCACCAAGATTGATGACCCTAAAAATCGTTCCTGCCTGACTCATCGAACCAGTTGTGTGGCCCTCTTAGTCGGCTGTGGAGCTTAGAGCACAAGTGGAAACCAGATTGCACAGCCAACAACACCGTGTTTGGCGTGTTTGTCGCAGGTTTTTCCTGTAAGTTCGGCCCTGAGACTGAGTTTGCATTGTCAGTACTCAGTGACTCAGCAAGTAAGCAAACCATCAGTCATTTTGTTCCAAGGTCATTTTCCAAAATGAATTGTGACTTTTCGATGCTCAAAACTGCTATGGAGGATGATACTGACACTTCTTTGGGCTATGAGTCAATGAGCAGTGGAATCGGAACAATTGTGAAATATTGTGAACCATGATCACAAAACTGCAAACGCAAACACAAACTGTGGACACTGAGGAATGTAGCTCCACTGCCACATTCAAAGGAGTTATTTCCATATTGCGGGCAGCACAGCCTCATGCACTGATTCTTGAGAATGTGGACAGCATTGATGCAGCCACATCGGGAGGAGATGACCAAGATTCCGTGTAACTTAACTAGGTGTTTGCGCCTACGCAGTTCAGGTGATTGTGAATGTCTGAATTATCAGTGCAAGGTGAATCATATAATTCCCGCACTTCAATTTCAACTTAGGCAGCACAAATCGAATCTGACCATGGTATTGGAGTATTTGAAAGAGCTGGGCTACAGTTGCTGTGTCAGGAAGCTTAAGTCGTCAGACTATGGGTTTCCACAGCGGCGTAGCAAATACTATATCTTTGGTTTCCAAAGTTCTGTGGATTTGCTCAAAGTGCATCGGCTCTAGCAGAGCTGATTCCATCTCGTTTGCAGACTATGGCAAGCTCAGAATGCAGTCCAGTTGCCGAAGTCCCAGATTTTTTACCAAGTCCATCTAAGTCCGTCTACAAATTGGTTTCGATTGCAATGTTTGCAACGTGCAAGTGCGGGGAAGCTTTTGTTGCTTTGTTCATTTTCTTTCCACGTCAAGCTTCATTCATGAGTCAAGGCCGACTTCCTCCTGACTGACACGCACCCAGCTTTGATCAAAGAACTTCAGAGACGTGCTGCTGTAGCTGAGAAACGTGATACCAAAAACTCCGAGACCATTGCAGGAAGTTCAGCTGCAACAGCTAAATAGGTTGAACAGCATACTCACTTAGCAGGGATGTTGTCAGTGAAGTGGCCCTTGGCTCACCCGCCAGAGTTTGGAACATCCCAGTTCTTTGCCACCTTGACGGAGCGGGAACAGGAGGCGTGGTTTTACATGCTCTGCGACTAAAACTGGACTGACTGTACAGACTGTACTACTAGTATCTATCTATCTATCTATATTTCTTATCTATCTATCTATCTACTACGGCTATCTACCACTACTACTACTACTACTACTACTACTACTACTACTACTACTACTACTCCTGCTGCTGCTGCTGCTGCTGCTGCTGCTGGAACATTGGCATGTTGTTGACTCTGGCCATGTCGAGGTGGCATGCTTCGTCAAGCTATGGAACGATCGTTACAAGTCTGAGGGTAAGCCGACAATAGCCTTTGCGGATCTTTCCCAGTCAGTGAGTCGAGTCCCAACAAGCACGCACCAGTCTGCTGTACACCAATCCATGATTTGAGCTGTTTTGAGGTCTTTGATTTTGGTTTTGCAATTTGTTGTCCGAAAACAGTTCCCGAGCTTCCTGAGCTGCCTGCTCGAATGCCAAGGTAGTTCCGACCATCTTACCACACGCTAAGCTCTGGAGTACGGAACTATTGCGCCCCTTATTGGGTTGGTGACTCAATTGATTCTGAATCGTGAATTCAATCTGCACAATCAATCAATCAATCAAGTGTCTATCAATCAAGTGTTGGTAGAAGCTTAGGTGTGGAGATGCTTGGGCTGCAGGGCCTTTTCTTGTCAGATTTGCCATATTTTGGTGATTCAGTGGAGCATACAGATGCTCAAGTGGCAGACCTTGCCGGAAACTCGTCGGGTTCTCAGTGTACAGTGTACAGAGTGTTAATAGATATACCTAGCCTAGCAGCTAGCCTATCCCGTATACTGTTATATATATTGTTGCGGTCGCGTTTTCGCTGTGTGATCCCGGCTGTATTATCCGGGCTGAGTTGTTTTTGCTCAAGGTTCTCTGCGCCGTGCATCATGGCTGCAGTCTATGCGGTTTTGACTGTGGCCCGGTTTGATACGACAAGTGATGTGGACGAGCTTGCAGCAATTCCAGTCTCAGAATGGCTGCGGCTTACAAAGCGCAGAGTTTGACTCTCACCGCCAAAACTGCTGGTTGAGTCAGGCCTTTGTACAGCAGTCGATAGGCCTCGACCCCGAGATGAAACACCGTTGGCGTCGGCGTGAAAGAATTACTCAGCAGTTGCAGTTGGAACGGTTGGTGCAGCAACGGTTGGTACCCATCGCACGTACCTATGTACCTGTTGACCGTGCCCATCGCGCGTACCTACGTACCTGTTGACCGCGCCCCTCGCGCGTACCTCGTACCTCTTGATCGTACCCATCGCACGTACCTATGTACCAAATGTCCGTTCCTTGTACCCGTACCCCCTGGAGCATACTATCAAGGACCCCATTGAGCATTACTCTTAAAAAAACCAAACCTATATGATAAACGGAAATGTCTATATATAGAGGTAAAGAAGGAAGTGAATAACAAGAAAAACATGATCAAAACTTCAGGTTTTCACCTTTGAACTGCGCATTGTCAGGTTCCGTCTGCCGGATTTTTGTCGGGACCCGGCTGCTGGACCAATGACTAACGTTTGACGCCAGCGTGATAACACAACTACGAAACTAACAAGATTGTGGATGACAGGAGGGCGCCCCGACGAAATTCAACTGTCTTTGCCCACCACGTCCTCCTCCGCTACGCATGTCTTCCACATTGACATGAACTCCCACCCCGTATGGGGTGCCTTTTTGCGTATGGTTGACAGGCATCTTCACCATTAAAGACGGGCACCCCCGAGTAACTCCAAAATTTCTCGCAGACCGTCTTTTCCTACCACGTCCTCCTCCACTATACCTGTCTTCCACCTTCCCAACAGCATTCTGTTCCCTCTCCTGACCCCACAGATCACACAGTACACACCTCCCTTTCACCCCCAGTCGAACACTACTTCAATCGCCGCCGGGGATGTGCATCTCCCTCTCATGGAGGAGTTTCGATTTTCCCGTCCCGTTGTCTCGTCTCTCCTATCATCAAGATGAACTCCCACCCCTGGTAGAAGATAGTTTAGATTGCCTCCTGAGCCCCTCATGATGCTAATGATGCACTAATGGCCGTCAATTACATCACCTGCATCACAACACCCCAAATATAACTCCCAAACTCCAGGTAGTTTTCTTCTCTCTCCCCTACCAGGCTGTCCGAAATTCCACGCTGTGCGACCACCCCCCCCACACACCCCATACTCACTTCATTCGCCCATCCCGAGTCCAGCCTAGCCTATCGGCTGGCTTTCGTGATAATATACTATATACATATATATATATACTATATACATATATATATATATACAAATAGTAATGAAATCATGGAGGCTGGTCGGTATGAGACCACTCTGCCAAGAAATGTTTGAAGGCGATTGTTTCTGTCAAGAGCACAGCCCCTTAGGCCAAAGACATTTGCAAAGCAGCGGCCACGCTTGTGCTTTTCACGTCTCCGTCTCCTTGTTGAATCAAAAGCCATCTGCGACTGTCTGGCGGCAGAATTTCCCGCTTAGGCCCCCGAGGGCCTTGGACAGCTTGTAGGTGAGCCAAAGCGAGAGGCTGGCCGCCATATTCGGCGGCGCTTTCAACCTGCGAACGGAGTTTGCCACAGCCTGTGGCTTCGAAGAAAGCAAGTTCATTTTGCAACGCTTCATTGCATAGATCGGTGGTTGATGTTGCTGTTGGCGCTGCCGTGCGCGCGAATTGAACGCCACATCCCCGCCATCCCATGAAAAGAATGGGTCCTTGACTTGACCGTGACCAAACCCCCAATATTACTTGAGTTGAAAGTGGGCAAGGACAAACAAAAGGCTGCGTACATGACAAGCTGCGCGGAAGGTGATCTTTGTCGCGCGCTTCGTCGAACACAAATCAACCGATAGCAAAGGAATGCAACAAAATAGACACCCGGCCCACAAGCAGCGGTGTCAGTGCCGCAAACAAGAACAAAGGAAAGTATGCCGGGCCAAGATATTGGGCTATACATCGGCTAAAACATTTCAAGCCGTACATTGCGACGTTGTTTCTTTTTGTGCCTCTGATGCGGCAATGTTGGGTGTTCTCTTCTAAGAGACACAAATCCAGCGCCGAAGGTCCGATTGATGGCAGCCCACTCTCTCCATATGTTTGATGCCCCACAACAGCCCGATGGAATATGGGAACTGTGGCAGCATCTGCTTGGCGCTCGACCGGGATGTGGGATGGGGCAAGAGCGTTTGCCGCATGTGCCAAAATGAGCTGGGCCGATCTTGGCAGTGGAGGATGGGTGAGGATGGTGCACTCAAAAACGAAGGCTGGCGCAGTGTTGTACTCAGTTACCCATTTCCCCTTCACACAATTGCCCAACCAACTTCAACAACCAGCAAGCAAACATGAAAAGAATTATTCAACAAACCACCTCTGTCACAAGACTGTTGAATTGTTCAAGCCAAGACAAATTCAATCAACCACCCGTCATAGAAAAGTAAAACCTACTAAAACCGAATCCCCTCACTCGGAGCATGGCCTACCAACGTTCCTCATGGTTCTGAACCGGTTTGATCCAACACAGACTGTTGATGCGTGCAAATATCACTCCTTTGGATCAAACCATCACATGTGATTGGACGGCCATTCAGACTTTGACTTCAGCCCGGGCAAAACGGCAGGGCTTCGATCGGATGGAGCGCCAGTTCTGTTTGAACAATGTGTTTGATTGACTCTTTGTAAGCTTCATCAATGTGTGCTGTTGGGCTCACCAGGTGAATTCCCACTGCTCGGTTCTATAATAAACCAGCAAAATAACGAAGGAGGAGAAGCTTGAAACCAATCGAATAACACCAAAGCGGCAGCTCAGTAGCAAAGCAGCAAAAATATCGACAAGGAAGGAGAATCTCAAAACGAATCTGCTCACAAAAGCAAAAGCTGCAGTAGCGAAGAAGCAAAATAACGAGGAGGGAGGAGAAGCTCCTCGATACAGATCCAATTACACCAAAGTGGCGGCTGCAGTAGCAAAGCAGCAAAATAACGAGGAGGGAGGAGAAGCTCCTCGATACAAATCCAATCACACCAAATCGGCAGCTGCCGTAGCAAAGCAGCAATATAACGAGGAGGAAGGAGAAGCTCCTCGATACAAATCCAATTACACCAAAGCGGCGGCTGCAGTAGCAAAGCAGCAAAATAACG